TAATTAATATGAGTATATAAATATAATATAATTAAAGTATGAATGAGATTTTTAATTAAACGATATAAGTGAATTTTTAATTCATAAATAAAAATTTCTGAAATATATCGGACATAATTAAAATAGAAAAATAAAACAATTTGAAATTTATTTATTTTGTTTAAGAAAAAAACAGAAAACCGAAGGCAACATTAAGACGCTAAAAAAAACTCATTCCTTTAGAAATAGTTAAATTGAGGAAAATTATGCTCTCTAAAAATTTATATTAAAAATTTCTGTCATGAAATATGTATACATTTAGACGATTCTCTTAATAAATAAGAATCAGGAGGTATAATCACAAAGAAAATAAGAATTAAAATTAAAAATTAAAATTAAAATTAAAAAAGGCTCCAAAGATTAAATCAATAAAGGAATGTAAAGCTAATAAGAATCGACATCAGTTATGTATCAAAAATAATATATGGCGTATCAATTACCAATTACAGATGTTTCGACCATATTAAGTCCACTTCAGAAAATAAGAGTTTAAATATTCTACTGTGTAAATTTGCTAAAAATCAGATATCCTAATGACACCGTTTTACAATAAAGCAACAATTAATTTAAGTGTTTATTCCTGACAATTAAACTTACCGTTTATCACCGATGCAAATCTCGCTGCTACGTTCTATTCACAGTTAATGGCGTGGCGTGGCCCGTCGTCATCTGAATCATCTCGACTATCTAGACCGTATTGATCGCGGCCTAAGCAGCTGGAGTCGGTCTGACAGTAACGTTGGGGCGGCCGCACGGAAAACACACGTGTTACAAGAGCAGCGCGGCACGATGGAGTCGAATTTGGCGTCCCTCACGAGGGGCGGACGAAGTCGTTGAAATTTGAAAGCGTGTAGTCACATCAGTCGTGCGGATCTCACGGACTTCTCTCTGACTTCCGATTTTCATTTCTCCGAGACGGAAGTGTCGTTTCCCGACGCAGCGCTTCCGTCGCTCGCGAAACGTGTTGTGGAAATTCCCGCCGTCAGAAGATTCGATGAATCCCGCTCGAATTGTTTTTACTGTGAAACGTGTGTGGAAATAAAAATTTTGCTTGACTAAACCAGTCACGCTCGTTTTATTCCTTTTACACTCTTCCCGACCGTGTGCAAAGTGAAAGGTTTTCATGGTGATAGGGTTGATTCCGTTGTGTCATTTGGAAAAGGCTTTGTCGTAGTATATTTTGTTGTTTCTGAAAATTATTGGATACATCGTGTCAATTGCATTGAGTTTACTCTGCTCATTAACGCCAAGCTACTCTTCATATTCTTGTTTATCATATATGATATCGCGTTGCACAATTTGCAAGATATTGTTAAATTTTTGTGTAAATCCTGTGATCGTTGTTCGAGAAATTATTGGTAAGCGGAGTGATATTACAGCATGAATAATTTTATCGATACTCACATTTATCACCACTCATAAAATGATATTTCCTGATACATATTTACATTCGGAACCAATTAAGTAAAAATATTACAGCACACAAAAAATATATACAAAAAATATACAGCACATGTGTGCATGAGTTCAGTGCATAAAATTGTAATAAATTTCGATAAAATTTTACCTTAATCGCAAATATAGAAGGAAACTCCATGCTGCAAATAATCCATTTTCATGCTTTGTGCCGAGAATATTTACCCTGATAGAAATTTTCATCGATGCTATATCCCTTGCCATAAGGAAAAAAAAGAGTCACTTCCGCGTTAGTACCCTATCGATCACAGGCGTTTTTTCTGAAAAGCGTTGGAGATACGAGACACAAAGAGTCGTGTAAGTGCGAGGGTAAAGAGCCTACGGTCGATTATCGTTCATCTCGTCGAGTGGTTATCGCATCTTCTAGTGAGGAAAGCACTGACGCGGGAGGAAGAGAGGAACAGAAATTCCATGTTTCCTTTTCTCGGGCTCTCTACGAATCGCGCGAGGAAGTTACGATATGCGCGCGTTTATGTAACTTCAACTATATTCTCATAACTATCACGCGTTTCATGAAATGCGCTTTGGATCGTTACGCACGATTTGCTTTTAAACATTTCTTCACCGCTGTTATCATTACATCGGAGGGCAAAAGTCATATCCTTGCAACACATCATTCGTTATTACATGGAAAGAATGGTTTTGCTGATGTATTTAAAAATTTGACTTAGTAAATTTTATATAAATATAAATAATATAAATAACATAATATAAATATAAATATAAATATAAATTTTGTTAGATTATCAAAATTATAGTTAAGGACATTCAAGTTAAAATGTCGAAATTTTTTACAACATTGATCATTATTCTTGAGCATCCCACATAATTATTTGGATAGTCCAACAAAATTATTTTCAGATTTATACACTAAGAGAAAAATGTATTAAAATTAAATAATTATTTGAATAGTACTAATTTAACATTTACTTTACAGCAAAATAAATTAAATAAAGTAAATAAAAAATGAGAGTTAAATCGCATAAATTAATGGTTCTTGTACTAAATAAATACGTATTTACATTTAATAAAACGAGTATTATTTAAACAAATATTTATTAAAATTTAGTACATTCTTTTCTCACTGTATTTAAATTTTTAGCTATTTCAGCAAAGTGGTTTTTTTCGTGTACAGTAAATTATTCGTTGCGCTTCTTCGCGTTTTGCAAATCACAATTTAATTCGTTTAATTTAGGATTGATTACAATCTTCAAATCCAAACTGATCGAAGAATTCGTAACCGAGAAGAAATGCGACAGTTCCGCAACAACGTACGTTTACATGCTTGTAAATGTATTATATATTTATAGATGTCAGAGAAACGCGGCATAAATACATTTACATAAGATCATACACGTGAATGTCAATTTTTATTTTACTTTTAAAATACGACTGTTTAACATATGAACCGTTAATGGCCAATATGGCATTTGACTTGAAGAACGTCACTGAGTAACGTCTGCTTACTAAGCCCACGTGACACAGCTTGGCATTCGAATTCTCACCATTCGCGATCGCGTTTCAGTTTCGATAATATCGGCGGTAGGAAATAACGTTCTGCTTAACGTTCGTTTCGCCTTGTATTACGAATAATTTCTTCTTTTTTCTTGTCTGTATTAACCTTACGAAAGAAGTGCTAATTCAATAACTCTTCCATGTATCTTAATTGCACTAATTGGTACTCAAATTAATAATAATGAGTGACATTTGTGATGAAATTGTTCTTCATTGTGTAACGTTTGTAAAAAGTCTATTATAAATAATTTTCTATGAATTGCATCAATTTTCTTTAAATAAGATATAAACATATTTAGTAGATTAATTTTTTTAATCTTGAAGTGCTTCCTGAGTAAGAATAAAAAATTGTATATTTAAATATAATTCACAGTTTATATATTCTATTAAAATTATAGATAATGCAAAAAGATAATGAAGTAAAATTATCCAATAACTAATTTTACGGAGACAGGACGTTTCACTTTTGTTTGAAAGTGATTATTAACGTCGTAGAACTTCCGTGACCAAACTCATTACAATTAACGTGTGCCTCATGCGTTTAGATGCGAGAGACATTCTTCTCATCGTCTCGTTTCTTTTGTCCTTGTATCACATGACTTCAACTTTTTTATAAATCTTATTTTGACTTTCTGTTTACTGACAGATATGCGAGTGCAGTTAGTTACTTTAGTCCCAAGTGAACAAGCTGACTTGTCAAATGAGAAAAAAAATTCGAAAATTGCTCTAAGTGAACTTTGGATATTAGTATCGATGAAGAGAATTGTTACAAGTGCGGCGAAAGATATGTTGGTGAAGAGTACATTGGCTCTGTTTGCGCTTGTTAATCAGTTCAATTGAATAACATATTAATACTCCGGGGTCATCGCGAGAGTTAATCGCAATGTCCACGCCGGACACGATGGATACCATCGACGAAGCGGAACAAGCGTGGCGTGAGTACAAAAATAATTCGTCGACATTTTTTTAGATGCCACCTCGTCGAGTCGTGAAAAATCATACATGACCTTGTGACACATTCTCAGACGAATATTTTTAACAGGAATTAGTCTGTTAATATAATATGTGTATTAATATAAATTCTATACGTTTCTCTTGACTTTCAAAATGCTTTAAAAAAATGCTGTAAAAATAAATTTTTTGGAATTAATGCGGATGCAGTAAAAAATATTTAAAAATTATTTTAATAAAATTTAGCTACAATGCTACTCTAAATTCTCTAGCAAAGTATTTCTCTTTGTGGAAGCAATTCAGATCTGTAAGCTCCGTTTCGACAGGCTGATTTGCATTTATTGTAATACAATGATAATGTCATTTTGTTAGATAATGTAACAATGCAAAATGATGATTTATCGAAATTCAAATGCTGATTTTCGTTCAATATATTCTATGAATTGTAAATTGCATGGCCGACGAGATGATAAATACTGTGACAATGAATCGTGCGACAGCGTTTCTTCTTATTGCTCGTTCTGTTCACGGATATGCAATGCGAAAGATTCGGCCGATAGGTATGTAAAATTAAACGCTCGGCACACGCATGCACAATTCATGAGTCGATACCACGCGATTCGCTCGACACTGAGAGAAGAGTTTAATTTTTATCTTGACAGCACGTAGAAAACCGTGACCTAGTTTGAGCTATTTCTGTATGAAGAAGTTCGTAAATGAATATTTTTTTGACATGTTGGATAATCAAATATATCGCGTGCATTTTAGTTTCCAGCTGAACTGTATCAAAAGTATCAAAATGTCATAATATTTAGATTTTACATATACTTAGCTTACATATACTTAGCTTACGACATTGTAAAGTAGAGATGTTATCACACTAGCCATAAGGTTTGGTTATTGTGTCTATCGTGCAATTGAAGAATGATATTAAGAATAATATTAAAGTGAGTTTAATGACGTCATATTCATTACTCAATAAATAGTAATGCTATATATGAGGGAAAGATAGTAAGTCATACTTACAATATTAACAATATCATATCTTAATTTTTAATATTTCTGTTATTGATATTACAGAATGATAAATGTATATATAGAATATATAAACATAAATATATCTATTTAAAGTAAAAATTATATATTATGTTGCAGTGATTTTTTAATGTATTATTAATGTTATATATGTCAATTTTATTTATAAGATTACTAAGTCCCAGTTAATTTCTTGTTATTTTATAAAACTATTTATTTTATTATTAATAATAATTTGTACTTGTATAAATATGTATGTAAATATATTCAACATAAATATTATTCCTATTCTTCCTAAATCTTTGCTCTGTGTAACACAGAATATCGTATCTTTACTTTTATCAATAAAAATAAATTCTGAGAAATTCTGATAAAAAATGAAAGGTCAGAGATCAAAAGACGAAATTTAAGAGTCAAATAACGAGTGTCTAAACAGAATTTCTTTTTACGTTCCCAGATGAGATGCTGGAGTGTGAGACCGGATCCCTTTTAGGCAGAGTGGCGGATCTAGAAAGACAATCCTTGGCGCAGAGGGACGAGATAGTTTGTCTTCGCGCCACTTTGGCGGACGCGTTAAGGCGAATTGCTCAGCTCGAGGCAAGAGAAAAGCGGGAGGATGACAGGAATGAGAGGAGAAACGAGAGGATGGTCTCCTCGCCTTTAAGGAACGGTCATGTACCTCTCAGAAGTAAGTT